CATTTTGGACCTCGGAAAAATGAGCATATTCTAGCAACATGTTAGAATACTTTCTGAATACTTTATTGACAATCTTATTTTGTTACACAGATTTGATAGCATTTCTTAGAAGATGAACGAGACAACTGCTTATACAATTAATTTTTTGTTGGATAATGAGTGATGCTTCTTGACAATAAAACCTAAGTGAAATACCTAAAAGACTGCCTCCTTCCCTATGAAGTTGCCCTTAATTTAAGATTTCCTTTGAAGACTTTTCTGTGTGATCTCCTCAATGGCTATGGTGTTATCCTAATAGCCAAGGTATTTTCTTCCTACAGAAATAAGACTGAATCTTTTATTAGGTTTTGGAAAGCATTAAAAATATTTTAGTTCTTCATTGGTTATATATAATTTTAAATACAACGATCTAATACAATCTACTGTATTATTTTTTGTTTAACTTTTAAACTGCAATTTCCCTGAGGACTCTCCTATGGATGAAAAATAATGCAGCCATAATTTTATAAATAAATACTAAATCACTATTAGAAGCAAAGTTCAGTAAAGCTTTACCAGGACTGCATGTGGTCTATGGAGAAAAATAAAGGAAGACATATTGCAAATGGAGCTATTCTGTATGTCAAATACTGAAGAAAGTGCAATCAACTTTTTACTGCCACATATTCTTTCAAAAAAAGCACCCCAGGTATCAATAGTATACCACAAAATAAATTTTGAATCTGAGCGTATCATCATCCATCCCCCATCTCAATAATTCTATGATGAATCTTCAGATCAATAATCAAATTAAGACACTATGTTAAACTCTCCCACAGAATAACATATGCTCTGCTTATGATTTCAATATCTTAAGTGATCATGCCGTAGAAAAATTAGCTATGAAATAAAAAAACTGAGATTATCCTAGATATAATCCTAAATAGTTCCTAGTATTTTTTTATGAGCTGTAAATGTTACTGCCTTGATTCAAAAATATATCCACTTTACTAAAAAGATACTATCATGCTTTACTCTGCTACTCTGATGTATGTAGGTAATTATATATTTAAAAAGTTCTCAACCCAATCACATGTGACTTAAAAAGACTTCTCAGTATTTAAGATAGTGAAGAAGAAAGTGAAAGAGAAAATAAAAAGGGTAAAATCTCTCCAGAAAATCAGATTATTATTCAAAGCCATTATTACAGAAACTTGGCTTAAATCTAAGGTGGAGAAGATGTTAACAGGATGTCAGAATAGTTAATAAGAAGGTTTAAAAAGATGGCTTTCAGATATTTTTATTAGAACAAAAAGATGCATAAAGTTTAGGAAAATAAATAGACAAACAAGAAAGTACAATGAATACATGTAATATTTATAATCTTTCAATTCCCATAAACCTATCTCTTTCTATCTTGTCTTGTAATGTTGAGCATTACATTCTTAGCTTATATTCCCCATAGGGTTCTTAAAGAACCACCGTATGAAACTGATATTTGTTATTTATTTTGCAAGGTTTTTAAGCCGCTAATTAACAACTCTGAGGAGTGGACAGTTCCCATCATAAATTTGATTAAAACAATTAACAACGTTAACAATCCAACAAATAGGAGAAAAAGAAAAATGCAAAACAAAAACCAACAAACAAAATCAAAACCAAAGAAAACACAGAAAAGGAATACCACACTTACTCCCGAATTGAAACTCCATTATTCACCAGTGGTAGCAGTCATAACGTTCCTGCCCCCATGGCCTGTTTTCATGGGCGTTCAAAAAAGTCACCTTTAAATCACAGCAACGTTGTAATTAAAATGCTCATCTGAACTATTTGTCCATCTTTAGAAATGTATGAAAAGGCAGTCTTAATGTAAAAATGGTGGAACGGTAGTACATTGGGGAAACTGAAATGAAAACCCATTTTAAAAGTAATGAAAAACTTCAGAAAGAGAGGTTAGCAAACATAAGTATAGTAAAAAGGCCATGTGAATCACTTGTGAGCAGAAACAATTAGATTTTACATTTACAAAGAAAGTGCAAGCAAGCAACCTAATAGAAGTTATGCAATCTTAAATTTTGCTTTTTAAATTTCACTGAAGAGACATCTAGAAATAATTTGATTTAAAATGTATGCCTCACAAATCTATGAAACAACATTTTAATAAAAGATGAATAAGAGTCAGAGTTACACATCTAAAAAAATTGGGCAACGTGTATAAACTGTTGACTTAAAGCGGCAGCAAATTAGAGAATTATAAGCTCTAACAAAATTACATTTATTAATTAAATGTTTGAAGACTTTTGGTATATTTTTATCAAACAGTTTCTAAGAAATAGTTGAATCCCTATAAATATTTTCTTGGAGCTTAATTTGCTGCTTCTGTAGATGTACTTAGCGAAACAATTAAGTACAAGTAGTCCTCAACTTCCGACTGTAATTGAGTCTGGAATCATAGTTGTAAGTCATGCCTGTCGTTACATTTTTGCAGCAGTCATTAAGTAAATCACCATGGACATTAAGTGAACCCATTATCTCTAATGGATGTTTTTTGTCAGAAACCAGAAGTAAACGTTTCCAATAAAAAAACGACATAAATTGTGGTAATGTGACCATGGGAGGCTGCAATTGGCTGTAAATGCTAGCTGGTTGCTAAGTGTTTAAAAAGCAATCATGTGATTGGGGCAAGGCAGCCGAATAGAAGTACATGGGGAAGGATTTCATCGTAATTTCAAATAGTTGCTAAGCGACCAGTTGTAAATTGAGAACTACCTATATTCAATATTTGTAAACATAAATATTCATTTACTCTAGATCAGGGGTGTCAAACTGCCGGCCCGTGGGCCAGATGCGTCATCCGGAAGCCGCACCCACCCCATTCCTGGCAATGGCAAAACTGCCCTGATACGTTGCGCGGCGTCACGTGACATCGCGAGTTTGACATGTCTGCTCTAGATCAACTGAATTGACTGTGGCTGATGTCACTGTGCTTTTTAACATTTTTGCCGTACATTAAGTAAATAAAAATAAAATAAATCTCACTAACTTAACATATGCCAGAAATCTTCAGAAATGTCTGTATTCATTAAAAAAGTGATAATAAATGCTGCCCAATTTGTTTTTCTTGGTTCAACAAGCTTAGGAGTTGTGTTCCAATTGTTTCTGGTGGTTGTGGCAAAATTTAAATAAAGATGCCGCTCTAATTGGTTTTGTGTTATATCCTAACTGGAATTACTGGCTTGTTATTCTTCTATATTCAGTGCCAACCTCTGTTCCTGTGATCACTTTCTAATTACACATTTTCAGGGTAGCTAGAAAGTGGAAGTCAGGAATCCCAGCTTGGAGATAATGTTGACTACCATTCTGATAGTTTAATCGCTTCTACTGGCAGAAACATCCCGATGAAGGGAACAGCTAAAATACATCAAATTTAGCTTAAAACAAAAAGCTACCTGTCCTAGGCATACATGTTGCCATTCCAGTAACTGCAGCAAGTGCTAGCACATAGACTACTATTAAGTAATTTCTTTCCATAAAACTGTCAGTCCTCTCAGAACAAGTCATGCACATCAGTGCCCAGGTTCAACCAAATCAAATAAATGTGGCTAAGTTTTAAATATTAAAAAAATAAGTCCAGGAAACCTTTCTAAATAAATAATAAACTCTTCATCCTCCACACTGCCTGAAAGGATGATGCCAGCTATTAATATTTAATTATATTTTTATTTCAAATGTAATTATGTAATACGTTTGAATGAAATAATTTCAGTTGTTACAAAAGGGAGGCTATTTTTCTGAAAAGCAGAGCTCCATATTTTTTTTTTTTGCCTAACAAGTACTAATTCTTCCTTAGGCTTTAAGCCATACGATTAGATCAAAATTTATTTTGTCCATTGCACATTTTCAAATAATTAATGAACAAAAATAAGCTTGTCTACACAGTAATATTATATGTATCTGCCAGCCACGCTGACTAAGCCTTTGTTTCTCAAATAAAATTGTGGCAACCTTCACAGTAGGGAAGTTAAAACAGCAAGAGAAAAAGGTTTGATGGTGTGCCAACGTACAATGGAAGGGAATTCAATAACATGCTGCAGAGACAGTGAGCTTTTATCAGACACACTAAAAAGTGGTGGTAGTTACACGTCAATGCTAGACTGGAGTGTGTTACTGCAGAGTGCAACTGAGTGTTTTCCCCACAGGCAATACACTATTATTGACTCCCCCCATTAACATGGAGGGTGGGTATACATTTATTGAAGGTTCTAATGGAAGGCTGAGGGACTCCTATCCTGAGGCCAGAACAGAAAGACAGCCTATCACGTCATGTAATGGTAGCCCGTGTGTGACAGATCTGACCTACATTTCCCCCTTTCTTTTTCACAACAGCCTGTCACTGTTTTACAATGCTATATTTCAAGAGATATACAAAAGGTATACTAGAACTGCCTGGTTAAATGAATTGTAGTTATAACTTGCTTGCTGAAAGCTAGCTGGGATCATACGTGCCTTATGAAAAAAATATATATCCTAGGACAGTGCTTGATTTGTAAAAGGTGATAGAAAGGATCCAGGTCAATTACTGCAAAGTGTTCATAAAAAAAAACATATGCTGCAGGATACCTTTGACATAAATTACTCAAACTAATTTAAAATGTAGCAGTGGAATGTGGCAGAGGGCGTGACTCCGGTAATTAAGAACATTTAGTGAAAACGCTTTAAATACTGTCAAATGAAGAATGGCTAAATGAAGTCATTATTATCTAAATTCTACATGTGTTACATTTAGAACAGTTACCACCTAACGCTTTGTCAAAAGTAATTTAAGGTTTTTAACTGCCTAATGCAGATGTGGCAATCAATATAAATAATGCATCCAAATATGAAAGCAAGATAGAAGCAAATGAAAGGTTTTGGTTGAACAAATCATATTTCAAAAGCCAACATCAAACTACTCCCACGCTTTCCACCACTGAGAGCTGCTGCTGCTGCTGCTACTACAGCCCTCCTCGGCAGGAACCTACCACGCCGCTGCAGGTCATACTCTTTTTTTGTCTCTTCATTTCCTAGAATTTTCCATGCTTGATCAATTTCGATGAACCTCTGCATGCATGCCTCTGCTTCTCCTGCTGGCACATCTGTGCTCTGTTTGTCTGGGTGATGCTGCCAGTCAAAAAAGGAAAGTGAAAAGAGAGAAAAGAAAGAAGAAGGAAGGAAGAGAATCAATAATAAATAGGAGATCTATTTTGAGGTGCTCGGACACAAAGTTAGGACGGCGGTGCCATGAAAAAAACAAACAAAGGGAACAATGCTGGCCAGAAGAGACTGCTGGCAGGGTAATTAGACTACTGCAATAACAGCAAATACACCAGTGGCACAAATGTCACAATGTGCACTGATAGCATTTTCTGGATAATTTGCCAATAGAATCCCTGGTCTTATGGACAATTTACCTAAGGAGAGTGACTAATGCAAAGAGAAACAAAGATTCACAGATGAATACAAGATGGAAGTAGAAGCTTATTATGTAATACAGATACTTTCAACTTTATTAGTAAATACGAATTATTATTTATTATTATTTATTGAACTTATATACCGCCCTATCTCCCTTACGGGACTCAGGGCGGTGAACAGGGCGGTGAACAGGCGATAATAAAAACCACGATAAATATACACAAATTTCTGTCTAAAATCAAATCACATTGCCAATGTTTATTTTCCATTTAAAACACTTGCTTATACTGGGAGTATGGAGTTGAAACAGTTAACAAAACACTATTAAATGGAAATACAGTTTGACACATACGTAATGCTATTTTTGAACAGGTAATTCATAATGTTAATGTATTCCAATCCAATGAATAAAAAGTCCAAATTATTAAAACGTATGGGTCAATGCATGTATTTTGTATTTGATAATATAGCTAAGATAAATGCAAAATACAGATAGTCCTTGACTTGTAGCCTTTCGTTTAGTGACTGTTCAAAGTTACAACAGCACTGAAAAAAATGACTTATAACCATTGTTTGCACTTATGACTGTTGCAGCATCCCTGTGGGCATGTGATCAAAATTCAGATGCTTGGCAAGTGGCTCATATTTATGACATTGCAGTGTCGTGGGATCACGGGATCCCTTTTTGTGACCTTTCTGACAAGCCAAGTCAATGGGGAAGCCAGATTAACTTAACAACCACGTTACTAAGTTAACTATTGTGGCAAGAAAGGTTGTAAAATGGGCAAAACTCACTTAACAACTCTCTCACTTAACGGTATAAAGTTTGGGCTCGATAGTGGTCATTGGTCAAGAACTACGACCACAATTGAGTAGTGATATTTTATTCTTGCAAATAATATTGCAAATACAGCATAGTGTAGTAATATATATTTTAAAATCTATTAAGGAAGAAATGCAGTAATACTTCTAATATTCATTTGCCATTAATATATACACTATTTTTCCAAATAGCATGCTATTTAAGATTACGGTATGTTCAATTCATTACTGTAAAAAAAATCTATTTTAAATTAAGTACCTCAAACATTTGAATATATTATGTTTATATTATATACCCAATAATTTGTAAAAAAAAACAAAACCTGGTGCAACATTCTAAAGAAACCTCACTGTTATGGAAATGCTACATTTTTTAAAAAAATGATTTTTACAAAATGTAACACAAATCTACATCTTTTAATCATGTTTTCATTCCGCCCAGTTTGAAGACATAGATGTTTTCATTGAATACTGATACCAGAATATAGAGACATAGATCAGTATTACATAGATAAATTACGCAACTCAACAAAAGTCCTAGGTTACAAATTAAATCATTAGTTTCATCAATGATTTAATCATGAATTTGTTATTTCATAGGAATAAAGATACTATTATAGTTTGTTTTTTGAACACAGAATTCTTAATGTTCCCCAAAACTTCCTATTGTTGTTTTTAGTATTTGTGGATCACAGTAAGACAGATGCAAAAAATATAACTTTACAGAGAGAATACATGGAAGAATTTCAAAGTGATTTGTGATTTGTTCATTAAAAATATAAAGTTTATACTGGTAATGCAATGGAAGAGGCAATGAAAGACTTTATTCTAAAGGCACCATCCATAAAGGTATTTTGAACTGTTTGTTCCATAGTGTTATTTCTGAAGGGCATCAATATGATCAAGCAAAAATAAATAAATAAATAAAAACCATGTAATGAACATTTATGCATGCATTATTTACAGACAAGTGAGTCTATATTTCTTTCAATATACATTTGAAAATATGTTTCCCATTCACTTTTCTGGCAGAATAACATTTCAATACTATAAACCAGTGGTTCTCAACCTGTGGGTCGGGACCCCATTTGGGGTCGATCGACCATTTCACGGGGGTCGCCAAGCAAGGCTGTCCGCCATTTTTTTGTCCGCCTTTTTTTTTGTCTGCCATTTTTTTCCCCTTTTCCGGCGGGTGCCTTACCTCCCTTGGGCTGGGCCAGCTGGTGGTCGCCCTGCTCCGTCTCTGCCGCTTGCCAGCTACGCCTCGGCCGGTGCAGGGGGCGGAACCACGCATGCGCGGCGCTCCCAGGCAGGGAAAGTCCTCGACCTACGACCGGTTGGGTAGTCCTTGACTTATGACCTGTTTAGTCCTCGACTTACGACCGGTTTAGTCCTCGACTTACGACCGGTTGGGGTCGCGGCATTAAAAAGGTTGAGAACCACTGCTATAAACTTTAACTGCCATGGCCTTGCTGAGTTTTTGGCATCTACTGTATGCTGTTTTTGTTGAAAAATAAAGATTAAAATCCATACTTGGATGGATAATATGTTAATTGGAACTAATCAAGATGGCACGAACAAATGTGTCAAAGAGGATTCTTATCAAGCAATATGATACAAAACTCAAAAATGGGAAAAAGAAGAAAATCCCCCCAAATTGAACAACATATTACAACCATAAAGTATTTAGTTTCATATTAATCTGAGATGGTGCTTGTAAGCTGATCTATCTATCAATGGAAGATATATTAAGCACTCAAGCATTAAGAAAATACTTCCTTATTCCATGTCCAAAAAAACCAAATACTTCATTTCCGTTTTTTTAAACATAAAACATTGTACTTTTTATATCAAAAAGCAATTTTGGCATTTCACTAGGTAAAACTGAATTAAGCCATACCACACAGAATCACCAAGCAGCTGGAAATGGCTGGAATCCTCAGTTCGTACAGTCCATTTAAATATAACTGGTTTTATTTCATCTTCTTATTTATTGAAATAATTTAATGAATTTCTTTATAGTTTCATTATTAATTTGCCTTTTATTGATAGCCTCATAGAAAGATTGTAAATTTGTATGGGTACAAATTTAATAAATTAAGAGTAATAAATCCATTTTATCAGGGATGGATGCATTACCCCTGTAAGTAATACTATTTATTTGTACCTCTAAAACAGACATGTCAAACTCACGACGTCACATGACGTCATGCGACTTATTGGAACTTTTTTCCCCATTGCCGGCAATGGGGTGGGCGCGGTTTCCTGATGATGCGTCCGGCCCGCAGGCAGGCAGTTTCACATCCCTGCTCTAAAACATCACCATAAGAACATTGATTAATAATCATACTACAAGTAGTTCTCCTGGAGGCCGTACGGATCTGGATGGGGAGAAACAGACTCAGGCTCAACCCTTCCAAGACTGAGTGGCTGTGGTTGCCGGCTCCCAGGTATGGTCAGCTGACTCCATCGCTGACTATAGGGGGCGAAACTTTGGCCCCCTCGGAGAGGGTACGCAACTTGGGGGTCCTCCTGGATCCACGGCTGACACTGGAAGACCAGTTGGCGGCTGTGGCCAG